CTGCACATTTCTTCAGAATGTAGTTAATATTGTTCTTTACAAGCCCCAGCTGGCTAACTTTAGACATGACTCTCCCTTTCTCACTGGTTTGCGTTGGAACATGTGGCGAACCCCTGCAGTTTCTCATTGCCTTTTGAATCCCGAAGATATCGTTGCTTCCTTCCTTCGCTTGAACAGCCGAAGAGCTGGACATTCCAAACGCTGACCCCCTAATCTGTCACATTTGTAGTGCCCCATACCGAGCAGGTGCGCAGTAGGACACTTGTAGGCCCCTCACTGCTTTAAGGCTGCAACCGCAGACCCCACCCTGACGAACCTTACGGCTGCTAAATGTGACCTTGAGCCACCGATCGTAAAACCAACAACTCTAAAGGTCCTAAGCCCTGGCTGCAGGAAGGCAAACCCGAAACCGTAATCTTCACCTCCTGGACTGTACACTCAACACTAAATTTTCAGAGCTAAAAAGGAACTGTTGATACTGAATATATGAAAACAGAAGCCAACATTGCTCGGAGTCTCTTGTTCTTGTAAAAGCCATGGAGCGTTTCGTGAAGGCGTTGCCGCCCCAGGTGCGAAGAATTGCCGCCCCAGGTGCCGCAACTCTTGTCAGAAAAGCTCCAAGGCCTTTGCAAAAACCACGGACTCTGCACAGTGCTGGCTCTTACAACAAAGTCGTATTTTCGCATAATTCAATGGACAGTTACGTCCAGCGTGTTTTCATGTGAACAACCTGCATTCCGCAGACTCGTGATTCATCGATCGCATCCATTCTAATCTGGGTAGAGCAGCACCTTATCCTCTGTACGGACTAGTTGCTGCTCGAGGAAACAGCTGTTTTGGTGCATTCCAAGAAGCGTTCTGCTCGACGTCATCCATGAAGTTTAAAGAAAATATAGGTATGCGCAATGCAGACAATGAAACGCACTCACTACACGGAAGCTCGATTCACGGTCTCGTATGCGAAAACTACACGGTAAATCCCTGCCTCGCACACGCACATAACGGCATCTCTCTGCTGCCATTCAACACGCTCCCTCTCACCACAAGCGCACAGGTGGAACGGCCTGCATACTTGTTATGCGTCCGCTTGCCCACAGCCCCCCATTGGCCACGAACGTACAAGTATACTCTAGTTTATGGATAAGCGTTACGCCCTGCGGCACTTTCCTGGCTGAGCTGCAGCCATATGTAACCGACGTAGCCGCCCCAACCAACACTATTGGCCTACGACTGCCACCACGTCGCCCCCTTCAAGCCAGCATGTTCACGCTGCAGTGTATCTACCTGCAGCACAAACGTTCAGATATCACCACATGAGGGGCCTGATACCTACAGCGCTTTATTCGTTCGGTGAAAGACATGTGTCAGTCGTAGAAAAGCCTTCCCTTTGTGAGTCACCTTGGAGCTCTCAACTGTCTGAGGAGAGCCGCTTCGCCTTTCATCAGAAAACCCAGCGACTGCGTTTGAAGCGACAGCTCCACCTACCGGCAATGGCTGATGCTGAGCCTGCAACGCTTCACGCTGAACGACAAAACGTCATTCGTATCACTGAGAAGGATCCAAGAAAGCTCAGACACCTGTGCTGGCCACCGCTGTAATCATTTCGTTACGTTTCCTCACGTTGTGCCACTCGCCAGACCTCTCACGAGTTTCCACCAGCAGTTCGAGTTCGACGAAGCAGACGTGGACAAGCTGTCACGACTACAACCATTGTCCAGCGGCGCCTACTTTCTGCGAGCCGATATAATGTGACAACATTAAAGGTATTACGACTGCATCACAAAACCTGCCATCTACCACTGGGATATTCATCGTCACGTGGAATTCAGCTCTCTAGTCGTCTCACTCGGCTGTGGAGCCCGCTTGTGCTCAATGTGTCGATTATTATACTCACATGATCAAAATACTGCGCACTTTTGATTT